AAATGGATATGTGTAGCAGAAGTGGAATTTTATAGTATCTCAGGGTTGGAAAGGGCTTTAAAGGTTAAACGCCAGAGGAGAGATTCTGCAAAGAAAAGCAGACAATTAAGAAATTCAAAGACTGCACTGTATTTGACTAGCTGATTGAAAGCCCTCAACGTTAATTTATGCCTCTTTGATTAGAAAATTTCATTCATCAGAGTTTGCTGGTTATTTGACAAAAGGGGTGGTCTGAATTTAATTGCAAGTCTCCTTTTCCTGTGGTGTTTAGAAAACTCTATACCTAATGGTCCTCTCTGTTTATTTTGGGAAATGCAGCGATTATTAGCAAGGCTGAGAGTCAGTTCAGGCCTGGTAAGAACAAACCTGAGCTCCCCTCTCCTCTCTCCCCATGGGTAGATTCCGCTTGGTGTGTGACATAGTGGGGCGTAGCAAAAGGGTCTGCTGCTCTGCTCTGCTGGGCCTGCATATGAAAGGAAGCCAGTGAAATTACTGGGTAATGGAGTAGGACTTTGTAGCCCTTAATTGAAGGCTCTTGTTTTTACCCCTATTTACTTGGAGTTTATCTTTATGATTTTTATTCATCTAAGAACCAGGTGGGAAGAAAAATTTTTTAAAGATAGTTTACAGATCATCAGGGGCTTTTTTGGGGGGAGGGATGGGGAGAGACAGACTCTCACTTGGTCACCCAGGCTGGAGCACGATCTTGGCTCACTGCAGCCTCCACCACCTGGATTCAAGCGATTCTCCTGCCTCAGCCTCGTGAGTAGCTGGGACTACAGGCGCACACCACTAGGCTGGTCTAATTTTTTGTAGAGACGGGGTTTCACCATGTTAGCCTGAATAGTATCGATCTCCTGACCTTGTGATCTGCCCGCCTCGGCCTCCCAAAGTGCTGGGATTACAGGTGTGAGCCACCTCGCCAGGCTGGGTTATCGAGGGCTTTTAAGTGACTTGTAGTTCTGTTTCATTTATTAATTCAGTTAGCAAACATGTATTCCTTGGGGTGTTAGGTCCAGAAGGGTGCAGGTCCTGAGGTGGGTCCTGCTTTGAGATAACTCTAGGCTGGTAGGAGGAAGGCTGCAGGCTGGTACAGGCCTGCAGTCTGGAGACCCAAGAACCGGGAAAGCTACCCATCTGATGGGCACAGCCAAGGCGGTTGCTCCAGTTTCCTGCAGGCCGGCAGGTGCCATGATTTGAAAGGGTATCACCTTTGCAGACCAAACTGATGAACTGAGAAACGGTGTGCGATGCTTAGGTTTCTGTCTCAAGCCAAAAAGCATTTTATTTCTCACGGCCCACCCCTCCCTGTCTCTCTTCAGCTAGTAAAAAGTTGTGACCTTGTCTGAGCTATAAATTCATGCATAGCAGGTTAACGTATTGTCTTCTCTGTCAGCCATTGGAACATGCTATTCATATCTTTACATTTAACCTTAAAGAATATAACAAAGCATGTGCCACAAAGAAGTGGACTTGAATTCTGCCTCGGCGTTTTTCAGCCTCACCTGTCTGTGGTCTCTATCTTTTGTGTTGAGTAGCGATGTATTAAGCATGGCCATCATGCATTTAGTAAGAAACAGAGAGAAGTGAAAGTTCAGTGTAAATTGTGGGGCTCAGTAACAACTTTTAAATGTATATCTTTTTTTTTTCCTTAGGGAAATTCTTTCCTCATTCACGACCAACAACTTGTGTTTGTCAGAGAGGATATAATCCTAGTACTGGCTGACATTTGGGTACTCATGCATTTAGATCAGTTTCCAACATTTTATCCCTTGCACTTCCAATGCCTTCACATATCTCTGACAATTTCTTTAATGTGAAAAGCTTCACTTCTTTAAGGACGTCTTCATCGTTTCCATCACAACCTCTTTCCTCACTTCTGTCAATAATCCACCTTCACTAAGCTTCTCTGGCTGCACATCAAGAGCCTCGGTCGACGTTTCCATGCTCCACTGTTTCTTCCAAAACTCTACTGAAGTTCAATTCACTTTTACTATTACTTTCCCTTTTTTTTTTTTTTTTTTTTTTTTTTTTTTTTTTTTTTTTTTGCTGCACACCAGTTCCTTTTCAGTTACCCATTTTTGTAAAATGCGATTCTGGGCAAATCACCGGGAGACAAGGAGGCCACACACCCCCCACCTTTGCTGTCTGTGTGGAGACTGAACTATCCATATGCAGGGACCCGTCTTCAGGAGACTCTGAAAGAAGTGATGGGCTTGGTCACTGATCATGCAGATGTGCATCTGTATCTCATGGAGTTATTTGTAGACCGGAGGGCTGATTCCAGTTGGTGCTTTATGCAGTTACTTACAGTTAAGTATGTTGTAATAACTGAAGTTTGGGAGACTGGTGTGATTTAACTAAACCACGGTAACTGAAACTGAATCAAGTATGCCAAGCAAGGACCACCTGTGTACTTAAACATATGGGGAAAGGAGAAATTGCCTGACCCACTCCAAGTCCCCTTTTTTTGAGGAGAAGAGGTGGGAGGGGACTGGCAGTGACTCAGCTTTTGTTGTATCCCCTATGCTAGATGCTTTACGTGTTCCATTTTGCAGGAAAGAAAACAGTCGAAGAGTTTTAGTCACTTGTTTGAATACGTTACAAATGGCAAGACTTAGAATTCAGGCCCAGATCTTCCAGCTCCAAAATCTTTTCTTTTTCTTTTTCTTTTTTTCTTTTTGAGAAAGGATCTCATTCTGTCACCCAGGTTAGAGTGCAATTGTGGCCCCCTGCAGCGTTGAACTCCTGGACTTCAGCAATCCTTCTGCCTCAGCCTCCTGAGTAGCTGGGACTGCAGGTGCATGCTACCACGCCTGGCTAACTTTTTTAAATTTCATTTTTTGTCGAGATGAGGTCTCTGTTACCCAGGCTGGTCTTGACCTCCTGGCCTCGAACACTCCTCCTCAGTTGACCTCCCAAAGTACTGGGATTACAGGTGTGAGCCACGGTGCCTGGCCTCTAGCTCTAAAACCTGTGCTCTTTATACCACTCTTGGAAAAGAAACCAAATACTGTGTTAGAAAAAGAGAAGGAAGTTAACATTCATTAAATACTGGGCTTGGGCTGTGTCATTCTTATTTCTCAGGACTACCCTCCTGGGAACCTACGATCGTCCCCATTACAGATGAAGAAACAGAACAGAGCTGAGAAACTCAACAGTTAGCCTCATTCCACAGCTGGCTATTGTGGAGGGCTCAACTGTGCAGATGACGGGCAGAGATGAGAGGTCCCTCCTGACTCACATGCTGTATCATAGGCTTTAGTCATGAGTTTCATTCTTTCTCTATAAGTTATGATTCCACAGATTAGAAAGCTGGAGAAAGCAAAGGGTGAGGGTTTACCTGTAAAGCTGATTGACAGACTTTGCCTCAGAAGGCAGTTTGGGTTGATATGAAGTCATTGATTTTTGAATTAGGTTGAGAAATTTTTGAAACATATCAAGTTAAATTCGAATACCTTGCACAGATTATGTTATGGATGTAATTGACAGAACTGATACCTCATGAAAAATGGCTCCTACCGAGATGCACCCCTTACCCCAGGTCTCCCCCACAACCCCGGCCTTCCTTGACCTCTGACTGCCCCTTCTCCGTCTCATGAGCCATGAGCTGGTGCCTTGTCCCTGGCCGCGTGGGTGACCCGAGGCGCTGTCGGGAGTCCGGTTCACACGCTGCAGGCCTCCAGTCCTTGAGACTTCCACCGCAGGCTCACAGCGCATTCGTGCCGCCGCCTCTTCATCGCTCCCTCCTCCTTCCGAGGCTACACCAAGTCTCAAGCCCCCTCGTGTTTCCTGCTAAATAAATATTTTCACATCTGTTTCCTCTTGTTTATCTCCGACTCTGCGGCTTTGTTTAAATCTTCACAATAACTAACTGGAAATAATGAAGCCTCGCCAGTTCCCTTATGGTTTTGTCGTTCTCCCTCCGATATTATCTTACTCTATGCCAGAGTTTCTAAAGCCACATTTGATAATGTTAAGAATATCAGTGATTTTTCATTGCTCACTGGATTTAGTTGTAATTACTTAGCAAGGCACGCAAAATCATTTACGATCTGACACCAGTCCAGCTTCCTGCCTTATGTTCCTTAGCCCTTGAATGGGCTGCCCTGGCCTGGATGCTTTCTCTTTTCTCTCTCTCTCTCTGTTTTTTTTTTTTTTTTTTTTTTTTGCGCCAGATGCAGCTCCAAAGGTTTCTTAGACTCTGAAACCTGCAGAATTTATCATAGCCTTCTTTCCTCCTGAGGCTCCACAACACATGTATTCCTTGAACATAGCACATTATCACATTTGACTTTGTTTACGTGACTGTCCTATCTGCGTTCATCAGGCAGCAGATGTTCAGTAAATATTCAGTGAATAGATTTCAAGGTCATGGCTCTTCTCGTGCTCTCTCAGGGACACGTGGGGCCTGAGTGCCAAGGTTATGAAGGACGTCCTTTGTAGATAGCGTAGCTGAGATGGACAAATGCGGTACCCCCTGATGTGGTGCAGTGAATGCATCATGAAGGAAGGGGATGGACGGAGATAGAAGATGAGGTCTGAGGCTGGAGCCGCTGTCCAGGACAGCCTGGCTAGCCGTGTGCAGCTGGAGGGCACCTGAGGTGGGGCTACCCCACACTAATTGTGCTGGACGTGCCCGAGACACACTCTGTTTCAAAGACTTCACAGCAACAGCAAAGAATGTAAAATAACTCAGTGTTTTATCTTGAAGTTTTCATATGTATAATTTGTTTGTTTGTTTTGAGATGGAGGTCTCGCTCTGTTGTCCAGGCTGGAATGCAGAGGTGTAGTCTTGGTTCACTGCAACCTCTGCCTCCTGGGTTTAAGTGATCCTCCTACCTCAGCCTCCCGAGTAGCTGGGACCACAGGCGTGCACCACCATGCCTGGCTGATTTTTTGTATTTTTGGTAGAGACGGGGTTTTACCATGTCGCCCAGGCTGGTCTCGAACTCCTGGGCTCAAGTGATTTGCCTGCCTCAGCACCCTCAAAGTACTGGGATTACAGGCATGAGCCACGGCCCCTGGCCAATAGATATAATTTTATATTATAGAATATTAGAAATCATAATTTAAAGTGATCTTTATAAATTCATATGATCTTGTCGGCAATTTTGAAATTGATCATTTTAATATGTTAAAGTGATCATATTTTGGATCTCTTAGATTACATAAAATAAATCAATATTAATTTCAACAGGTTATTTTTTTTTTTTACTTTTTAAAATATGGCTACTAGACACTTTTAACTTATATTTGTAGCTCATATTCTATTTCTCCTGGACAGAGATGAGATAGAAGCTGTATGAAGCAGAAGACGCTGGTGCAAGATGGGAAACTTCCATGCTTAAAAATGCTTAAAAAAGAATAAAAAGTGGAACGAAAGGAGGGAGAGGTTGCCATATTTGGCAGAGCCAGGAAAAGCAGAAACTGCCAAAAATGGCAAATGCCATGAAGGCACTGTTGAGGGGCTAGGTGATGCAGATAGGTGTTGAGGGGCTAGGTGATGTGGATAGGTGTTGGGGGCTAGGTGATGTGGATAGGTGTTGAGGGGATGGGTGGTGGGGATAGGTGTTGAGAGACTAGGTGCTGCAGATAGGTGTTGGGGCCTAGGTGATGCAGATGGGTGTTTGGGGCAAGATGATGTGGATAGGTGTTGAAGGGATAGGTGGTGGGGATAGGCGTTGAGGGACTAGGTGATGCAGATAGGTGTTGAGGGGATAGGTGATGTGGATAGGTGGTGGGGATAGGTGGTGGGGATAGGTGCTATGTGATGCGGATAGGTGTTGAGGGGATAGGTGGGTGGGGATAGGTGTTGAGGGGATAGGTGGGTGGGGATAGGTGTTGAGGGGCTAGGTGATGCAGATAGGTGTTGAAAGGATAGGTGATGTGGATAGGTGTTGAGGGGATATGTGGTGGGGATAGGTGTTGAGGGGCTAGGTGATACGGGTAGGTATTGAGGGGCTAGGTGATGCGGATAGGTGTTGAGGGACTAGGTGATGCGGATAGGTGTTGAGGGGCTAGGTGATGTGGATACGTGTTGAGGGGCTAGGTGATGCAGATAGGTGTTGGGGGGATAGGTGATGCAGATATGTGTTGAGGGCCTAGGTGATGCAGATAGGTGTTGGGGGGATAGGAGATGCAGATATGTGTTGAGGGGCTAGGTGATGCAGATAGGTGTTGGGGAGATAGGTGATGCAGATAGGTGTTGAGGGACCAGGTGATGCAGATAGGTGTTGAGGGGCTAGGTGATGCAGATAGGTGTTGAGGGGCTAGGTGATGTGGATAGGTGTTGAGGGGCTAGGTGATGTGGACCTTTGCCTGTGTAGGCAGCAGCCCCTTACCTCAAACAGGCAAACTCGGAACAGCGGGTGAACACTTGCATTGTTTTCTGTCATTACGAAGCCATTCCTGTGCACCTTCACATCATCAGTGATACAACAGAAAGGTGGAAATATATTCCACATCTGTAATCCTGGTCTTCAGAAGTAATCCCCTTTTACTTGGGATATTGTCCTCCTTCGACCTCTTCCTCTGTCTGTGTGCATTGATGTCTGGTTTTTATGCCGATGGAACCATCCTCTCTCTCTATTCCCCCGATCTGCTCTTTTGTCTCACTTGATAGATGACATTTTTTTTTCCATAATAGGCTTAAGTGTAAGATAAACTTGATGGCATGCAAGAAAATGAAGACACAGAATGATGAGGACTTCCACACTGCAGCATGCCTGCCCCCCTTCCTGACGGCAGCTTTGACTGTCCTAGACCGGATCCCATGACTCCAGAGAGGCAGGTGGCCTCTGTGCTTCCCCAGGAATGGCTCCCTTCATGGCATTTCCCAGATACCACAGTTAATCTCCCCTCCTTCTGAGGGTTACAGTCATAGCCTGGAGTAAATCTCCACAGCCTGGAGTAAATCAGTAATTAGGCATCACAAAGATGTTGCCGGTGTCGTCATCATCCATGCAGCTGTGCTGATACCCAGGTGCACCTGCCTTCCCACGGCCCCAGAGCACATGAAATTGAATAATTTGAAACTACGAATTAAAAAATTCCAATCTTATTGAAATTTTCAAAAATGACTACTTCACTAATTCATAAAGTCTGAAATGTGGAAGATCTGAGTTGACATTTGGAGATGGGGTAGATACTGATATCTACAAGTGTGAACACTTGGTGGATTTTAGAGGAGGGGCTGAAATACGTGGGCTGTGCAGTTGGAGGCGTAGTGTGACATGCTGGTGGGTGATGTGGGTCAGGATGTCGATTTGTTTCAGAGTAACTTTATCCTCTAAGAAAGACAGGATTTTTGAGTACACTGAAATTGTACATTGAGATTTGAGTTTATCTGTCTTAAGTTTCCTGTTGGAGATAAATCTCAGTTTACCCTTCTTCCTGCCCCCTTGCAGAGGGAGTTAAACTCCTTGGAAAAGCAGGGTCAGAGTCCCTCCTCCCTATTATCTAAGAAGGAGTGGTCAAAGGGCATAGCAATAGCATTCCCAGAAATGTAGGTTTGTGGAGCAGGAAACAGCCTCTGTTTGTGGGCAGTTTGTGAAAGGCGAGGGGAGGTAGTAAGGGAAATTCCGAGGACCTGTTACTTCTTAAGTAATCATTAACTCTTTAGTTACAGCAGAAACAATCACACTTACAAATTAACAGCAGCACTACCCTTGATTAAACTTCCACTGTAGCCCTGGTGGCCTCATGTATCTATTACATGTGATGTGCTTCATCTGTACCACAAACCTTCAAGCTTCAGGAAGTTATCCTCATTTTGCAGATGAGGAAACTGAAGCCCAAAATGGTGAGTACCACATCAATGTCCCACGGCTAAGGAATGGCTGAGTGGGATTTAATCTCAAGGTTTTTTTTTTTTTTTTTTTCACCCCCTTGAAAAGGAGTGTGGCAGCTAAAGTACTAGCAGACCTGTGTGTGACCACCACTCCCACCCCCGGTCATGGTTTGCTTCCTTTTGGGTCAGTGAATTTTGGCCTTTTAAATGTTTTAGTATCTTTTAATTTCATGACATTCTCTCTTCATCCACTCCTGCCAGTTGAGAGCAAGGAGAATCGATACATGGCAAGTTAGGGCTGGCTGTGTGTGTGTGTGTGTGTGTGTGTGTGTGTGTCTCCCCGTGCACACGTTAGTAAAGTGGTGGCTTTTCAATGCATTCCCAGCATTTTGGTTGGTGGCTCTTTCTTCTACTTAAAAATCTTCTCTTTTAGAGAAACTTTAAATAAAGTAAGAGCCTTTGAAATTCTCCTAGAGAGAACTTGTACTTTCAAAAATAAACTTTGATGAGCAGGAAAGGCTATTGTAATGATGGGTTTGCCTGCCTGCAACATAACTGCTGTTTTTAAGATGGTCATAGCTCAGCTGGCAAGATGCATGTGTGTGCTTCAAACTGTAAATGTTTGAGATGGAGAAAAGATGGATTTATTCTAGCATTTTAGTTTTAATTTTGATGACTTAAGGCATTTAGAATGCTTTTCTTCCCCCCATTGGAAAAGAGGTTACTATAATTAGTACATATAGCTGGGGCAGAGTGTGTGTGGGTTTTTTTTTTTTTTTTTTTTTTTGGAGACAGAGTCTTGCTCTGTCACCTAGACTGGAGTGCAGTGGCGTGATCTCGGCTCACTGCAACCTCTGCCTCCGGGTTCAAGTGATTCTCCTGCCTCAGCCTCCCGAGTAGCTGGGACTATAGGCACACTCTGCCACACTCAGCTAATTTTTGTATTTTTGGTAGAGACAGGGTTTCACCATGTTGGCCAGGCTGGTCTCGAACTCTTGACCTTGTGATCCACCTGCCTCGGCCTCCCAAAGTGCTGGGATTACAGGTGTGAGCCACCAGGCCCAGCCAAGAGTTGTTTTTTAAAAGTAGGAGGCTTCAGAAGATGGGGACATTATTTATAAGAAAAATATCTGAAGCATCTCTTACATCAACTTATAAGCCTCTTGTGCATAAGAACAAGAGTAAATTTTGACTCAGAACAGACCTGAGGCGTGTTCTTGAGTTACCATAGAGGCCCTCGGCACGAGTCCTCTGCCCTCTCTCTCAGCTGGGCTTGCTAGCTTCCCCGAGGTCTTTACATTGCAGCTTCTGACTTTATCACAGACATAATTTGGATAAAGAGGACAGGAGGAGAAATGGGCAGGGCTTTTCTTTCATGGACTGCTCGGGAAGACAAGCTGTGGTGGTTTGAACTGTGCTTTTGCCAAAATACATGTTGAAGATCTAAAGTCCGTGAATGTGACTTAATTTGGGAGCAGGGTCCTTGCAGACGTAATTAAGATGTAAGTTAAAGTGAGGCCATGCTGGAGTTGGGTGGGTTCTAATCACATACACATACACACACGCACACACACACAATCACACACACGTGCACACATACACACAATCACACGCGCGCACACGCACACACACACACACACACAAGAATCTGTGCAAACGTGCAGGCCCAGGGAGAAGGCCATGTGATGGTTGGAGGCGGAGACTGCAGTGCCACAGCCACAAACCCAGGGACAGATGTCAGGGCTTGCCGGTGCCACCAGGAGTGGCATGGAGAAGATTTTCCCAGAATCTCCAGGAGGAACTGGCCCTGCTGACACCTTGACCTTGGACTTCTGGCCTCCTGAACTGAGGATAAATTTTTGTTGCTTTAACGCCCATGAGTGGACCTTTGTCCCTAAGAAACTGATACTCGGCCGGGCACAGTGGCGCACACCTGTAATTCCAGCACTTTGGGAGGCCGAGGCAGGCACATCACGAGGTCAAGAGATGGAGACTGTCCTGGCCAACATGGTGAAACCCTGTCTCTACTAAAAATACAAAAATTAGCTGGGCGTGGTGGCGCGCACCTGTACTCCCAGCTACTCGGGAGGTTGAGGCAGGAGAATTGCTTGAACCAGGGAGGTGGAGGTTGCAGTGAGCCGAGATCGCACCATTGCATTTCTGGCCTGGCGACAGAGCAAGACTCTGTCTCAAAAAAAAAAAAAAGAAAAAGAAAGAAAGTAATATTCAATATTCAATCCTCGCACCTAAGGCTGCTGGGGGCCTTACTCTCTCTGATACCTAAGGCTCCCCTCGCAGCCCCAGCTTTGGTGGCCTGCGAACCTTTTAGCATGAGTCTAGCATTGTTCCTTCAGAGAAGAAGTAATGTGGCACACAGCACTGGGGAGGGATCATAGGAAAGGACCCGCCAGCCGCCTCCTCATCTCAGCCTGCTCTTTGCTCACCTCCTCTCCCCACAAGAGAGCTTGTGATAGCCCACATTTGGGAAAGACTAGACTTCAGGACAAACCACCACCTTGTAAGTCACCATCCTCTAACAGAAACTGGGTTTAGGATGAGGGTCCCGTCCTGGCAGCTCACTCACTGTTTGACAGGTCTCCAAGGCTGCCCAAGCTACAGAACCCTCGTGTGTAACATGGATTGAGCTGGGTCCAAGCTAAGGCCTGTGGGGAGAAGGACGTGTGTGTGAGTGGGTGCAGGTGCAGGCAGGGAGGCTTGGGGTTCAACTGTATAGCTTGCATCAGTGTTGACAAGGAGCCAGTTGTATAATCACATTCTTCTTGCTGAGAAAGTGAACATAGCAGACATTTTCCTGAGATGCTACTATATACCTGGCATTCTGCTGGTTAGCAACATTTACTATTTTGCAGATTTTTTGTTTGTTTGTTTGCTTTTGAGACGGAGTTTTGCTCTTGTTGCCCAGGCTGGAATGCAATGAGATCTCGGCTCACTGCAGCCTCCGCCTGCTGGGTTCAAATGATTCTCCTGCCTCAGCCTCCCAAGTAGCTGGGATTATAGGCATCTACCACCATGCCCAGCTAACATTTACTGTTTTATGTCATCTTTAAAAATGCTTCAAAACTCATGTTTTTATCCAGTGCTTATGAAGGGACCTTGTAATGATTAAGCTTTTCCCCAAACGGTTCCCATGTCTCAGGGTATTACAAGGATTTGACGAGGTCATGTATATTCAGTGTGCCTGGGGCA